TGTTGAAAATAAAATTCCCTTCAACTCTAAAACAGTGGTTAAACAAAAATTTTAAATAAATTTTAAACTTTCCCGTAACAAACAGAAGTTTGCTGCCTCTAAATTCCTAATCACTCCTCTTCACCTACCGAATTTCAAAATCCCCAAAAACAAAAAAAAAATCCTTTAATCAAAAAAAAATTAAATTAAATAATAATAAAATAAACACAACAACAACAATTTTTATATGTTCCAATAATTAAAAACAAAAACAAGATAGCTATTCAATGTTCCTTTCCAATACCAAGAAAATAATTCAATAAAAAAAAAAAATAAATAAATTACAACAACCACAAAATAAAATTGACAATTGTAAATTTAACTTGAATCAGAATTAAATACTGTAATTAAATTATATGAAAATTTGTATTTATAAAAAAAAATGTGAAGAAGAGCAAGAAAAAAAATATATGAGAAAAAAAACAAATTTTGAAAATAAATATGTATAAAAAGAAAAGAAGAAAATTTATAAAAATATTACAAAAAAAATGTATACAAAAAAAATAAATATTGTTTTATTTTCACGATTTTAGAGGCGGAGGGGGTCATATTTGGGTATTTGAATTTCTACAAAGGAATTGGGTACATATATGGTCTGTTCGAGAACTGCAAAAATGTATAAGGTTTTTACTACGATAACAGATTTTCCCTTTTCGATATCGAAAAAAAAAATACAAAAAAAAGTAGATTCTTGCAAGAGCTGGAACAGAGCAATAATAAAAACTTAAAAATCTTCCATAACTAAAAAGAAAATTTAAAAAATATTATCCAAAATTTATTTTCTTTTCTGTTTTTTTTTTTGTGTATTGCATTTAAAAATAGTATACTTTGTTTCTTACTGCCTGGCATTAGCAAGGTTTTGAATATCTCAAATATTTTCATTACTAATTCAACATAACCTTGAATATCAGCCGTTAGGCCTATATTTCTTCTTTATTGAAATAGTTTTCAACACCAATATTTATTCAATATTCTAACGGTATCAAATTTCAAAACACAAAAAAGGTAAAAAACGACGTTGAATTCGGCGAGGCCGAAATTTTTACACCCTGCGCCATGTGAAAATTCAGCTTTTTGGCCAAATGGGCCGTTATGCTCAAATTCTCAGGGGTTAAAACAAACCTCTGATAACCCAAAAGGCCAAATTACACTTGATTTAGTTGGAAATAGGGGGTCAAAATACCGAACATAAGGATTAAATTGTTATATGGGGACTTAACCAAAACGTGGACCTCCACTGACAATTCTTTGCTAGAAGTTAAAATACCTTCCGAGAACTCAAAATAAAAAATTACAGTTGATTTTGTGGGAAATTGTGGCCAAAACCCTCAAAATACTAAAAATCGGGGCTACACCAAAAAGTAGACCTCCACTGACAATTTTTTGCGAGAAGTTTAAATACCTTCTGAGAACTTAAAATATAAAATTACAGCTGATTTGGTGGGAAATTGTGGCCGAAACCCTCGAAATACCAAAAATCGGAAGGTACTATTACCTGGGGGCTATAGCAAAAAGTGGACCTCCACTAAAAAATTTTTTCGAGAAGCTAAAATACCTTCTGAGACCTCGAAATATACAATTACAGCTGATTTGATGGAAAATTGTGGCCGAAACCCTCGAAATACCAAAAATCGGGAGGTACTATTACCTAGGGGCTATGGCAAAAAGTGGAAGTTGGAGTTGAAGTTTTTTTTGCGAGAAGTTAAAATACCTTCTGAGAACTCAAAATATAAAATTACAGCTGATTTGATGGGAAATTGTGGCCGAAACTCTCGAAATACCAAAAATCGGGAGGTACTATTAACTGGGGGCTATAGGAAAAAGTGGACCTTCACTGACAATTTTTGGCGAGAAATTAAAATAAATTCTCAGATCTCAAAATATAAAATTACAGCTGATTTGGAGGAAAATTGTGGCCGAAACCCTGAAAATACCAAAAATCGGAAGGTACTATTACCTGGGGGCTATAGCAAAAAGTGAACCTCCACTAAAAAATTTTTGCGAGAAGTTAAAATACCTTCTGAGAACTCAAAATATAAAATTACAGCTGATTTGATGGGAAATTGTGGCCGAAACCCTCGAAATATCAAAAATCGGGAGGTACTATTACCTGGGGGCTATAGCAAAAAGTGGAAGTTGGAGTTGAAGTTTTTTTGCGAGAAGTTAAAATACCTTCTGAAATCTCAAAATAAAGAATTACAGCTGATTTGCTTGAAAATTGTGCCAAAAACCCTGAAAATACCAAAAATCGGGAGGTACCATTATATGGAGGCTATAGCAAAAAATAGACCCACATTGAATATTTCTTGCTAGGAGTCGAATAATCCACTTAGAGCCCGAAATGTCAAATTATAGCTGATTTTGATGAACATTTAGGCCGATACTTTCAAAATTCCGAAAATCGGGAGGTACCATTATATGAGGGCTACACCCAAAAATGGGCCCATTTTGGCAATTTTTTGCAAGGAGGTAAACTATCCTCTGAAGACCCGAAAAATGAAATCACAACTGATTTGGTTGAAAAAATGGGCCGAAACTTGTAAAATTCCGAAAATCTGGAGGTACCATTGTATGGGGGCTATAGCAAAAATAGACCCACATTGAATATTTTTTGCGAGGAGTTAAAATATCTTCTGAGAACTCAAAATATACAATTACAGCAGGAAATTGTGGCCGAATCCCTTAAAAAATCTGAAAATCAGGTGGTATTGTTATATGGAGGCTATAGCGAAAAATGGACCCACATTGAATATTTTTTGCAAGGAGTCAAGAAGCCCATTTAGAACACGAAATGTCAAATTAAAGCTGATTTGGGTGAAATTTTGGGTCGATACCTTTAAAATTCTGAAAATCGGGAGGTATAGTTATATGGGGGCTATAGCGGAAAATGGACCCACGTTGAATATATTTTGCAGGGAGTCTAATAACCCACTTAGGGCCCGAAATGTCAAATTATAGCTGATTTTGGTGAACATTTAGGCCGATACTTTCAAAATTCCGAAAATCGGGAGGTACCATTATATGGGAGCTACACCAAAAAATGGACTTACATTGGCAATTTCCAACAAGAAGCTAAAACCGAATCCGAAAAATCATATTACCGCTGATTTGTTGGAAATTGTGCTTGAACACCTCAAAAAATCCGAAAGTCAGGAGATACTAGGAGGCTATACCAAAAAATGGACCCACATTGAATATTTTTTGCAAGGACTTCAACTACCCTCTGAGAACTCTAAATATATAATTACAGCTGTTTTTTTTTTTTTGAAAATAGGAGTCGAAATATCAAAATAGCAAAAATCGGAAGGTACCATTATATGGTGGCCTACATTGATAATTTTTTGCAAGGACTTTGACAACTCTCTGATATCCTCAAATATGGAATTACAGCTGATTTGTTTGGAAATTGTGCTCAAAAACCTCAAAAATCCGAAAATCTGGCGGGTACAGTTATATGGGGGCTACACCAAAAAATGGACCTAAATTGACAATTTTTTGCAAGTACTTTAACTACCCTCTGAGAACCCTAAAAATAAAATTACAGCTAATTTTTTTAGGAAATTGTGCCCAAAACCCTTAAAATATTAAAAATCGGGAGGTACCATGATAAGGGGGGTTTACCAAAAAGTGAACCCACATTGGAAATTTTTTGCAAAAAGTTAAATTACCATCTGAGAACCAGAAATACTAAATTATAGCTGATTTTCTTGAAAATTGTACTCAAAATACTCAAATTTCCGATAATCAGGAGGTACCAATATAAGGGGGCTACAGCAAAAAATGGGCCCACATTGACAATTTTTTTGCTCTGAGAACCCTAAATATAAAATTACAGCTAATTTTTTCAGGAAATTGTGCCCAAAACCCTGAAAATACCAAAAATCGGGAGGTACCTTTATATGGGAAATATACCAAAAAGTGGGCCTACATTGGAAATTTTTTGCAAAAAGTTAAATTACCGTCTGAGAACCAGAAATACTAAATTATAGCTGATTTTCTTGGAAATTGTAGACTAAATACTCCAAATTCTGAAAATCAGGAGGTACCAATATAAGGGGGCTACAGCAAAAAATGGGTATAATTTGAAAAAATTCTGAGTAAAAGTTAAACTACCATCTGAGAACCTGAAATTTGGAATTGCAGATGATTTGCTTGGAAATTTTAAAAAAAATACTCAAAATTTCCGAAAATCAGGAGGTACCATAATATATCGTAGTTACACCAAAAAATGGGTATGATTTGAAAAATTTTTTGAGAAAAAAGTTAAACTACCATCTGAGAACCTGAAATTTGAAATTACAGCTGATTTACTTGGAAATTTTGGTCTAAGACCTCAAATTTTCGAAAAACCAGGAGTTACACTTCCATGGGGGCTATATCAAAAAATGGACGTGTATTGACAATTCTTTAGAAGGAGCTAAACCATCCTCTGAGAACCCGAAATATCAAATTACAGCTGTTTTGTTTGAAAATTATGGACCGAAACCTTTAAAATTCCGAAAATGAGGAGGTAGCTTTATATGGGGGGCATTACCTAAAAGTGGATTGATATACTCCATTATAACCAGCAAACATACTAGGTATTCTTTTAAGACCTGAGCCTTTAATATTTCGAGCTCTATTGTGCTTTACAACCGGCGGATATTTTCTTGGGGTCTCCGACGAATATTTTGAGTTGTTACAAACCTCATGACAAATTGTATATACCCTCCATTTTAGGATGGAGGGTATAAAAAACAGTAAACAAAATCTTTCAAAATGATTGGTAACCGTTCATAAACTATTGACGCATCTTGTGTTTTGAAATCTACCCAAAGTCACAGCCAATAACTGACCTTGGTAGTATCGTTCTTTTCTTTCCCAAATGTATTGACACAAGTGTTTTTGTTTTCCTCTAACGTAGTAGTTGAAGTTGTTTCGAATCATATAAATTAGAAACATACGACTCCAAACAGCATTAGTCTCATTGAAAACACTAAAACAGAATTAATCCATTAAAAAAAAAACAAAGAAAAAAAACATATTTCCAAAAATGTTCAAACTTGTTATTTTGATTTCCTTGCTGATGGCCCTGTTATCCTCGCCCAGCCATGCTTATACGGTTTTCAGTGATGAGGATACTTTGGATACTGTTACCGAAACCATGCCGTTGTGTAAGGAACGTCCCTGTTCTCGCATCTATCGTCCCATGTGTATTAGTGTTGATGGAAAACCAAAAACATTACCCTCCCGTTGCCATTTCAACAACCTGAGATGTAATGCCATGGAACGTACACGAAATTCAAATGATGCGCCCGTTTTTCGTGTTATGCATGCGGGCCCATGCTAAGGAGGCTGTGACAAAATGGATTCGATAGGAGATAATTAGTATTTAAGAAAAATTAGAAAATAAAAAAAAATAATAAAAATTACAATTTTAAAAAAATGTTTCCATTTGAGGTCACAATTTTTGTTTTTGGATATTTTACGCCAAATTGAAATTTATTTAATCTAATATCTCCTTTTGATTAAATCCTGTCCATGTACTTTATTGGTTGGTTGAATGTTGAAATACAAAGATATTCGGAAATTCTTCAAAGGCTAATATGCAGTTACTGCAAATCTTCCGATTTGTTCCACATAGAAGGGGCACATATAATACTTTATTGTCTCATAAGATATGGAGGTATGGTCTACCTATAGTATATGTATATAAAAGAAATATATGTGTATCAAAAACAATTTCCATTTTAAAAATCACTTCATAAATTCTACTTCTCCTACAAATCATCCATGTAACCCATTTCGGAGGCATGACGCACAGCAGCCAATATTTGAAAATTCACCTCATCGCCACCAGCTTCGATGCTTAATTTGCGAAACCTTTCCCCCGTAAAATCATTGGCAAATAATTCCGATAACTCTGAACACTCCTCTTCACTGCACAGCATCCAGGGTAGAAAATGGAAACAAATGATGACACCATAAAAAGCAAAACGCGCAAAATGTCGTTGGAATTTCTCAAAGGTATAATGGCTTAAGACATCCTCAATTTCCTGCTGACTTTTGCCTGAGGCTTTTAATAACATTTCCAATGTTTCATACATATACGAGTGATAGGTTTGCAACAAAACAGGCCAGAGTTCATAACGGCTTTCGGCCGAGGAATTGAAATACATGAAAAAGCTTAAATCCAATACTGGGGAGCCATAGCGTACCTCCTGCAAGGATACCAAAAATATATTTTATTAAGAGAATTTCTTAAAATTCCATTTCAAAACTCACCTGAAAATCAATCATTTTAACATCCTCCACATTGCCCTCAGCATTGTATTTGAACAAGACATTATTGCGATTATAATCCCCATGCAAAATGGCAGCAAATTTCCGATCCTCCTCGGTTTCCTCCACCTGCACTCTCAACTTTTCCAACAGCTTGGTGGGTTGTTCAAAATACTTCTCTTTTAGTCTGCGCAAATTTTCAATTAATTTCAAATCTTTAGCGCATTTTTTATCAAAGGTATTTGTATCGATAATACGATCGAAATACTCATAGAAACGATCGAAACCCAAACGATAAATGATCGTGTACAGGTGACCCTTGGCCTCTTCGGGACTTAGGGGAATAAATTTTAAGACATTTAGACCGGATTTTAAACGTTCCAATTGATTGTTATTTAAGGCACGCAGCGCATAGGAGAAGGCATGATGTTTGGCCACCGGTTTGCACATGGCCAATAAATGATCACGATCCAAGATGAGACGTGGGCCCATGCCATAGCCCAGAGGTTTTAAATTTTCCAAAACCAAGGCGGCTTCTTCATCCTTTGGGGAGGAACTGAGGCCTGGAAAAAGAATGAAATATTTTGTTTTAAATGACTTTTTTTCTAATCGCAGATTTTTTGTAATTTTTACAACAAATTTTGATTTCAAGATGCCAAAAATAAAGGTCAAACAACTGAAATCGGGCATGGAATAATGTCTTACATTCCCTGATGTCAGCCGTAATCCTGGCTGATTAGAAAAAGAAAATTTGCCTTTAAAAGACCCAAATATATAAGTCGAACAAATTACCCTTCTATGGGATGCAATGACGCCATAGCCTTAGGATTGGAATAAAGTAAACAAATTCTAAGCAGGAACAATTAACTGGCATTGTTAATTGTTAGTCGGCAATTGTCAAGCCAATGCCTTGAATCTACAGAATTGGAATTCAAATGATGTCAGTTCTAAGATTCATTTGCCTCACCTTCAATATAACCAAAAGCCGCCTTATAGCAGCTCGGCGCCAATTCGGTTATCTTCAGTGTGGTAATTTTCAAATCATTCAAGAGTTTTTCATATTGCGGCAGCACATCGGAATAGATAAATATTTCATTGGCAAATTGGACGTATGATTTACTGGACTCTCGAAACTCAACATCGCCTCTCATAAACTTCGCTATCAGTAAGCGATCAATTTCACTACAAAACAAACAATTGGAAATAAGTACATCTTGATTGTATTATATCGACGAGAGTTGCACATCTTACCCTTCTTTAGATTTGGTCTTAAGTTGTATATTATACAGGGCAGACATGAAACCATCCAAACCACTGGAATGTTCTGTTTTATAGGATACCAGTTCCTCATTATCCAATTTGCTTAGGATTTCCGGTATTAAATGCTTATCAATATAAGATTTATGGACATCAACGGACATTGTGGTCTATTTGTTAATCTGAAATTGGGAATATAAAATAATAAAATTAAAATAATTTTATTTATAATTGCAATTCAAAGAAAATCAGCAATCCTAGATTATTATTCGTTAGCCAGGTTAAAACTATTCAAAAAGCATATTATCTCCTCCTGTAATGCCTCTTCAGTATGCAAATAATTTTAGATATTCAGATCGCATAGCCATGATCTTGTATCTTTATTATATCTCATAATTAAATCGCTTTCATCCGGTTTTGATACACGTCATATCATCCAACCGTTCAAACCAATTAATTAATTCAACGAAGATTTGTTTAGTTGGATATCTCCTCATTGGAAGCAATTAACTTCAGCACATCGCATGCCACTAATACCTTCTAACGACGTAGCTGGAACACTGGCGACTATACTCTAAAGTAATTTTCCACTAACTGATATTAGGAATTGCTTGTTAGTGGAGATTTGGCTTCAAGTGGGCCCCGCAGGCCCCACCGGGCTGTTATCAACAACACAAAAACACTACTAACTTTCCATTTCCACTATTTCCGTATCTCGGTTTGGCCGGTATGGCATCTCTGCAAGCGAATGGGAATGAAGAATCAAAACAAACAGCCCGACTAGAAGGGGGGATATACAAGTTGTGGCCGACAAACTTTTTTCCAGCTGTTTTATGGGGATTTGTAGTTCCACTTGATTCACGGCCATACAAAAAGAAAACGTCGCCTTTTTCGGCTTTGAATTGCAGCTGTCAGGCCATGCAAGAAAAAACATGAAAAAATACGTTTTTCTATATGACTTGAATATAGAGTTCACTAAGTACGAAAAAGGCAATATGATATATGGAACATATTTGGCGGTTATTTCATATTGATTATAATAGGGCTCTCTAGGTGCGAAAAAAACAATGAGATGTGAAAGAAATAAGTAGCACTTTTTTACATAGTAGCAAAATACAGGTAGATGCATCAATGCTTTAATTTTAATTGAATTTGTTTTCAAATATAAGTAGATTTTTATATGTTTTCTTATACGACGTCATTCGGAGGATATTTTAATACTAGTTTTCAACAATTTTCACAAATTTAAATAATTTTTCATTCAACATTTTCAATTTCAAATTTGGTTTGACAGTTCATTGTCCCAGCAACCATGGTACAATGAATTCAAGGTAGGGCAGAACTACCATATGATTTCAATTTTTTTATTTTTTTTTTGGCTTAATATGTCATCTTTATTTGTTTATGTATGTGTTTTCTTTTCAATAACAAAAAAATATTCAAATTCGGGTGTTTTCGAAATGTTTATTTCAACGTATGCATCTACAAAATCTAGAGTTTTTGTAGCGAAATAATCCTTTAGAGGTATATAGTACATGATTTTGAAAAGAAGTTTTGACCTTTCATTCAGTTATCGCCTTTTTCAATTATTTATTCAAAATAAATGTAACAAGTTTTTTGATTTTTTATTGTTTTGACACTAATTCTGACATTACAAGCCAAACAGGTAGACCTCTATACTTGCAATTTTTTCAAAGTTGACCTACCTTCTCTTCATTGTACCTATCAACTTGGGGATGTGTTGTATATTTTTCGCCTTGGATTCCAATTTTGACATTTGAGGGTACCACAAAAGTTGCTTTGTTGTAGCAATTTGCCGATACGGTTACCTGTTAAATCTACCTTGATTTAGTACGTTAAACGATTTTGCCCTTACGGCATGAACAAAAATTACAGGTTCTGAGCATGGTAGAAGAATACAGGTAGTCGCATCGACACAGCTGCCGGGACAATGGACTGTCATAGGACTGTTGTTCATAGAATTGAACGAAAACTTATTCAATTTTGTATATCATTCTAACTTCCGATTTACGTCGTATTAGAAAACATAAAAATCCCTAATTATTTTTGTCAAAGCATTTAAACACTTTTGACATATCAATGTTCCCAAGCGTTGATGCATCTACCTGTATTCTTCCGCCATGGCTCTGAGCAAAAATGTTATATTCGGTTTATAACAAACAAGTGTAGTGTTCCAGAACTGCAAGAATGTAAATCTTTTTAATACGATAACCGATTTTCCCATTATGATGTCGAAAAAAATGCAAAACTTTTAGATTCAAGCATAGTGCAATAACTACAATGTAGGGCAGATTTCCTTTTCTTCCTCCATTGACGTATCTCGCCCCTTATGAAGTCAAGCTCCTTTTGGAACTCATCATTGTCATGGAATAGGTAGATGAAATCCATTTCGGTCATACGAGAGCATTTTACACAGATACGACATGCTTCTAATTCAGACAGTTCATCCATTCTATGTCCATTTAAGCCAACAAGCAAGTGCAGAAATTGTCTTGGGATTTCTCTTTGTGTTCTTTGTATGTTTTTGCACGTTTTTGCCGATAAAATTAAGTTTTTTTTCTTATTTTTTGTATTGTTTCTTCGTTATTAGTTGTTTGGGACTTTTCAGTAGACTACGAAGGGGAACGTTTTTTTTTTTTTTTTGAGCAAACCATATGTTTTTCCATAGGCGGCAACGCGGCGGCTTTTTCGTTGACGGCCTGTGTAAAGTAAGTGAACAAGGGTTCTAGAAATCGAATTTGTTCTTCTGAGCAGCTGAGAGACGGGATGTTAGCAATTGCAAAAAAACGTTCCACTTCGTAGTCTACTGAAAAGCCCCAAACAACTAATAAGAAAGAAACAATACAAAAAATAAAATTAAAATTTTATTGGCGAAAACGTGCAAAAACATACAAAGAACACAAAAGCGAAATCCCAAGTCAATTTCTGCACTTGCTTGATGCCTTAAATGGCCATAGAATGGATGAACTGTCTGAACTGGAAGCATGTCGTATCTGTGTAAAATGCTATCGTATGACCGAAATGGATTTCATCTACCTATTCCATGACAATGAGGAGTTCCAAAAGGAGCTGGACTTCATAAGGGGCGAGATACGTCAATGGAATCTGAAAATTGCGCCAGATGATGGGCTGCCGCAAAGGATATGTGCCGATTGTTTTGCAAAATTTTGCAGCATTGAGGCGTTTCGCAAGGAGTGTGAAGCGGCCCAGAATAAATTGCTGCAATCCATACTCAATGCCGATAAGGAGGAAGAAAAGGAAAAACAGCAGCAGCAGCAGCAACAACAACAGCCTTTGTTAAGCTCGACCGCAGCAAATGATGTACTCAATGATTATCAGGTGTTCGATCCACCTCAATTTGATAATTTCGACAATTCACCCACCCCCCTTATGGATAGCTCGGCCACTTTGTTGGACAACAATTTGATGACAACTGAAACAGACAGTGATATGGGGTTTCTGTCATCATCACAAAATCTTTTTAGTTTTGAAACTGCCGAGCCACCCACAACGGGAACACTGCCCTCCTTAGATACTGAGACTGAAAATCATGCTCCTTCAATGGAAGAGATTATGAATACGCGATCTGTTTGCAATGGTGGTCTCCGCGGTGGTAGTACTATGGAACAAGAAAAACCAGATCTCGAGGATATTTTACAAAGCAGCATCATACCAACCACCTCTCAGCAAGAGCCGCAACAAAAACGTGCTAAATTAACTGTAGTATCAACAAGGACCACACCGACAAGAAATAATGTACTGAATATTTTTACAAATATAAAGACTGATAAGACTGGGCAAGTTCCCACAAATAGAAGCACATCCCAGTCATCGACGATGATGACCAGCAGCGAAGAGGCTGCCACAACTTCCGACAATGAATGCGATGACGCCAATGTCAACAAACGTTTAAAAAATTTGCCATACACATGCCATTATTGCTATTGTCCCGACATTGGACCCATCGATCATCTCAGTTTTCCCAACGAGGATGCTTTGTCGCAGCATTTCTTCGACATCCATGACCCCAATCGCCCCTACACATGTCCACATTGCAGTAACTCGTATAAAACCCAAAGATTACGTGATAACCATGTCCGCCTCAATCATGAACAAAATACTTCCAAGTGTCATTTCTGTCATAAGAACATACGTGGTTCCGTTGAGATGCATCAAACGCATTGTCAACACCTGGGCGATTGGGAATGTGATCAGTGTAAGGAGAGATTCCACAATATGCCATTGCATCGTTTCCGATTGCATCAGCGTCAGCATGAACGTGGTAGACATTTGAAATGTTCCGTTTGTCATCGTTCGTTTAGTCGCAAGGCGAATTTGGATGCACACGAGAAAATGCATCGGAATCAAGTGAAATCGCAGTGGCATTGCGAGCCATGCAAGACAAGTAAGTTTTGGGAATAAATGTGGGTTGATAGAGGACGTCTTTGCACAGGGTGGATGACTCTTGCTGACGACTTCTGTAGAATAGTTGGCCATCTGCAAAATATTGTAGTTGAGATTTGGGGACTAGGGATGGCCCCTGGGGACGTCTACTGAAGAGTAGATGGCCTCTGGGGACGTCTACTGAAGAGTAGATGGCCCCTGGGGACGTCTACTGAAGAGTAGATGGCCCATGGGAACGTCTACTGAAGAGTAGATGGCCCCTGGGGACGTCTACTGAAGAGTAGATGACCCCTGGATACTTCTACTGAAGGAGAGATGGCCCCTGGGGACGTCTATTGAAGAGTAGATGGCCCCTGGGGACGTCTACTAAGGAGTAGATGGCCCCTGAGGACGTCTACTAAGAGTAGATGACCCCTGAGGACGTCTACTGAAGAGTATATGGCCCCTGAGGACGTCTACTGAAGAGTATATGGCCCCTGAGAACGTCTACTGAGGAGTAGATGGCCCCTGGGGACGTCTACTGAGGAGTAGATGGCCCCTGGGGACGTCTACTGAGGAGTAGATGGCCCCTGGGGACGTCTACTGAAGAGTATATGGCCCCTGGGGACGTCTAATGAAGAGTAGATGGCCTCTGGGGACGTCTACTGAGGAGTAAATGGCCCCTGGGGACGTCTACTAAAGTTTAGTTGGCCCCCGGGGACGTCTACTGAAGAGCAGATGGCCCCTGGGGATTTCGAGTGAAGAGTAGATGAAAAAAAAAAAAAAAAAAAAAAAAAAAAAAAAAAAAAAAAAAAAAAAAAAAAAAAAAAAAAAAAGCAGATGGCCCCTGAGGACGTCTACTGAGGAGTAGATGGCCCCTGAGGACGTGTACTGAAGGGTAGATGGGCCCTGGGGACGTCTACTGAAGAGTAGATGGCCTCTGGGGACGTCTACTGAAGAGTAGATGGCCTCTGGGGACGTCTACTGAGGAGTAGATGGCCCCTGGGGACATCTACTGAAGTGTAGATGGCCTCTGGGGACGTCTACTGAAGAATAGATCTCACCTGGGACGTCTACTGAAGAGTAGATGGCCTCTGGGGACATCTAATGAATAGTGGATGGCCCCTGGAGACGTCTACTATGGAATAGATGGCCCCTGGAGACGTCTACTGAAGAGTATATGGCCCCTGGGGACGTCTACTGAAGATTAGATGGCCCCTGGGGACGTCTACTGAAGAGTTGATGGCCCCTGGGAACATCTACTGAAGAGTAGATGGCCCCTGGGGACGTCTACTGAAGGGTAGATGGCTCCTGGGGATGTCTACTGAAGAGTAAATGACCCTTTGGGACGTCTACTGAAGAGTAGATGGCCTCTGGGGACGTTTTCTGCAGTGTAGATGGCCTCTGGGGACGTCTACTGAAGAGTAGATTGCCCCTGGGGACGTCTACTGAAGAGTAGATAGCACCTGTGGACGTTTAGTGAAGAGAGTATTGTTCTTCACTTCTTTCTTTTTATAATTAATTTATTTTTAATTTGTAACTTTCAGATTTCTTAACAAATTACGATCTGAGACGTCACAACTATCAACACCACGATGATGAGAGCCCTGTCAAGTGCAAGGAATGCAATCAAGGTAGGATATTCTTTAACATATATTTATCTGTTTTCTACTAACCACTGCTCCTTTCTATTCTAGGATTCTCAAGTATTGCTTTTATGCAAAGGCATATATCACAAATTCATAACAACAACAATAATAACAAACCCCATGTTAGAACGATTGTATCTAACACCCAGCAACAAGGGACGACCGCCAATAGTCATTTCTGTCCAAAATGTAATGTCTCATTTGCCAGCCTTGACTCATTGCAATGGCACATTGAGTTGAGTAATAAAAACAATGGACAATGTTTATCACCCGACATTGTACTCGACAACAAGGAACGACGTCGCATCCAACGTCAAGGGGTATTCCCCTGTTTTGTGTGCCCCAAACGTTTTCATCTCAGATCACAGCTGGATAAACATTTGAATACGCACGACACCCGGCTTCGACCATTTCAATGCGACCAATGGTAAACTGATGCAAGCTTTCGAATTGTATTTTGTTCACATGATTTTCGTTGCTTAATTTATTTATTTATTTATTAATTAATTTGTTTGTTTTTGTCTCTTCTCTTTTTTGGATTTTGGCTTATGCATAAATAATATTATTTGCCAATAAAAAAAAAACTATTCAATCTTTATTTTTTGTGGGCGAAAATATAAATTTTTATTTATTTTTTAAAATATTTTGTATTTTTTTTATAATTTGTGTAAAGTTATTTAAAATATTATTATAAATTTTAGTTACACAAGATGCCGTACTGCCTTGGAGCTAAAGCAGCACGTAGATGTGGCCCATTTGAATATAAAAGCCTTCGCCTGCGAGAAATGTGGCAAAACTTTTGGCTACAAGAAGGATCTAAATCATCACATGCTATTCCATGCGGGTGAGTTAAGGACAGAAATAGAAATGGAAGATACCTTTTATATAAATCCAAGAAATCCGCTTAAACATCCTTTTAAACTATCCAAAAATCTCTTTTTTAATTTTATTAAGGATCCCTGCCCAACTCCTCTTCCATAGAATCATAAAAAGCTTATTTGCTTTTTCTTCTATTACAGAGATCAGTGTCCATTGCACTGAAGATGGCTGTGACTATGTGTGCAAAAATGAAAAGGCCCTTAATGACCACAAACGGCACAAACATCGTCTGTTGTCCTGTGAGTACTGTCGGGAAGAGTTCACAAGACAAAAATTAACTGGTGAGTTGTGTGGAAATAATTTTCAAATCTGGATATTTATAGTTGTGTTTTTATTATGATTTTTTAGCACATTTACGCAATGTCCATAGAGCCGAAATCAACATAGACTTGGCTGGAAATGCAGATAATTTTTATAAATCAAAATTACTCAATAATAATAATGATATTACACAAATCTCGTTTAATTTACTTAATACTCAAAACAATGCTTCATCATCATCATCCGCATCAGCATCTTCAGCAATCACCAATACCACAACAACATCCTCCAACGCCTCAAATAATGCCATAACAAGCATTGGTAATGGCCAAAGCTTTCCATCAACATCAGTGGCCGGTGCCAGCCCTACCCTATCATCGCCAAATAATCATCATGTTTTCATTACCGATCATAATTCGAATAATCTAACCTTGAATGGTTTCATTGCCAATGCAACGAATGATTTAAATCTAGGTGTAAATCCGGACGCCTCCAACAGCATGTATGTGGTGACAACGGCCACCGAAACACCCATAACATCGGTCATCAATGAAGGTGATAATAATTTGGATCAATACTTTATGGCCTCTCTAATGGATACGGAACAGGAAATAATCGTTACCTAAGCTATGGCAATAAAAACCTCAACTCGAACAAAGATCTTCACAAAAAAAAAAAAAAAAAAAAATGCAAAACAAAAAAAGACACAACATTATTCTTCTATTTAAAATTTAGAATTAGAATTATTAAGAATCTATTATAGAAATGGCTTAGAAATCTATAGACTAGATAGAGATGTCAGGTCTGAGGAGAAAAAAAAATTATTTAATTAAGTAAACAAAGAAATCTAACATTGCATGCATTAGTATTATGGAGATATTCTAGAACACCACTTCTATAACAACAAAACTGTCTTTAGGGCAAAAGTACAAGACTTACTATTTATTAATCTAACCACAAGAAACAAAAAACAAACTTACATACCTACAAACATACATATATATATTTAGAAAAAAAAAATGAAAACAAAAACCCGAAGAAAACACAAAATCTAAATCTTCTAACAAAAAAAAAAAAACATAGTAGCCAAGTATTAAGAGAATAGAAAAGTGAAAAAAAATCAAAAACTAAAAGCAATCCAATTTACTTTAAAAATAACAACAACTAAAAACTGATAGCTACCAAGAGAGAAAAAAATGTAACCCCCACCCCCTCTAAAAAAAACAACAATTCCATTTTAGAATCCGTTCGCTTTTTTAATTTATTTGATTTATTTATTATATGTCAAGAGTTGTTTTCTAGAAATGAACGAAATTTTGCCAAAAACAGGAAGTATCCCCCATCCTTCTTTGTGAAAATACCCAAACATTCCCACCATTTTCTTTCTAAAACACAAGTTCTTTTTCCTTTCCTATTTAAATTTGTTTTTAATAATTTATTTTAAACCAAATTATAGTCATTCTTTTGTCATAAAGGGCTAAATATAATAACGATAATATACCTCAAAGAGAGAAAATTATAAAGAGTACCCAATGTAAGTCTTCCTAGGCTTTCAGTTCCATTTCAGAATCCGTTTCTTTTAATTTATTTGAAGATCCAATGTCATTTATATATTGTTTTATAACTTTATTATTGTATTACGTTTTTTTAATATTCTTGCCTTTTATCCTCCTTTCTTCCCTAGTTTCTTTTCATTCCTTTGATGCCCTTGTTAACCAGAAAGCATTTTACAAAAAAATATTATAAAAATGAAATTATATATATATATATATATATATATATATATATATATATATATATATATATATATATATATATATATATATATATATATATATATATATATATATTAGAATACTAATTAAACCAGGACTATGCCACAGAAATCCGTTACAAAATGTATTCAAAACCATAACATCTAGGAGACCATTATATGGACATAAATTATTTGGTTAATAGGAGGCATTTCTATGGAAACTTCTCATGTAGCGAAGAGACTTTTTCTAATGAATTGAGTTTTAAACTAATGTGTTTCTTTTTCTGCTCAAAATTCCTTGAAGAAGTCTTTCTATCCCTGTAAAATAACATTTATTTGAAAATCCAATGTAATTTATATAGTATTTATATTTTTATTATTGTATTATATGATTTTAATATTCTTGCCTTTTATCCTCCTTTCTTTCCCGACTTCTTTTCATTCCTAGAATGCCCTTTTTAACAAGAAAATATTTTACAAAAAAAAAGTATTATAAAAATGAAATTTATATATGTTAAAATAAAAGAGCTCCAATACTAGTTTTTTCAAATACTTATTAAACCAGAACTATACCATAGAAATCCGCCACAAAGTTTATAAAAAATAACCATTACATCTATAAGACCTTTATAGGGAAATTGCATATTTGGTTAATAGAAAGCATTTTTATGAAATTTTCGTATGTTATGTACCGAAGAAATCTTGTCCCTTGTTCTCCCTTAAATCCTCTTAAGAAGTCTAGGCTTTCTATTCAACTACAGGCTCCGTTCAAAAAAAAAACCTATTACTTTAATTTAATTGAAGATCCAATGTAATTTATATATTATTTATATTTTTATTATTGTATTATATTCTTTTAAATATCCTCCCTTCTTCCCAGGCTTCTTTTCGTTCCTTGAATACCCTTGTAAACCAACCAGCAAGCATTTTACAAAAAAGGTATTATAAAAATGAAATTTATATATGATTAAATAAAAGAGCTCCAATACTAGTTTTTTCAAATACTTATTAAACCAGAACTATGCCGTAGAAATTCCCTACAAAATTTATAAAAAATAACCATTACATCTAGAAGACCTATATAGGATAATTGCATATTTGGTTAATAGAAAGCATTTTTATGAAATTTTCGTATGTTATGTACCGAAGAAATCTTGTCCCTTGTTCTCCCTTAAATCCTCTTAAGAAGTCTAGGTTTTCTATTCAATTACAGGCTCCGTTCAAAAAAAAAAAAAAAAAAAACTATTATTTTAATTTATTTGAAGATCCAATGTAATTTATATACATTTAAATTTTAATTTTATTATTGTATTATATTATTTTAATATTCTTGCCTTTTATTAACAACCAGCAAGCATTTTAAAAAAGAGTGTTATAAAAATGAAATCTATATATATTAGAATATTACTTAAACTAGGACTATGCCACAGAAATCCGTTACAAAATATATATTTAAAACCATAACATTTAGAAGACCTTTATGTGGACATTAAGTATTTGGTTGAAAGAAGACATTCTATGGAAACTTCTTATACACATTCCTAAAGGATTGGGTTTTAAAATGTTTAACTTTTCTTGCTTGAAATCCTTCAAAGAATGTTTCCAATCCCTGTAATTGGCTTTCATGGCAATTCTATTTAAGCATTCATTAAAAATAATCTCAATTTTTTTTAAGATCCATTTATTATTTCCATCCATCCATTTATTTGAAGATCCAATGTAATTTATATAATTTTTATATTTTTATTATTGTATTATATTACTTCAAATATCCTCCCTTCTTCCCTGGCCTTTTTTCATTCCTTTGATGCCCTGTTCACCAACCAGCAAGCATTTTACAAAAAAGTATTATAAAAATGAAATTCATACATTTAAATAAAAGAGCTCCAATACTATATTTCCAATTACTACTTGAACAAGACTTTGCCATAGAAATCTGCTACAAAATTTATAAAAAATAACCATTACATCTAGAAGACCTTTATAGAGAAATGGCATATCTGGTTAATAAAAGTATTTATATGGAAATTCTCGAAGAAGTCTTTACCCTTTTCTTCTTGAAATCTTTTAAAGAAGTCTTCCTAGGCTTTCAATTCCATTTCAGAATCGGTTCAAAGAAACTTTTTTATTATTATATTTTTATTATTGTATTATTTTTTTTATATTTTTGTCTTTAATTTTATATTATTATTTTATATTTTTGCCTTTAATCCTCCCTTTTTCCCTGGCTTTTTTTCGTTCCAACAAGCATTTTACAAAAAAAAATTATAAAAATGAAATTTATATATATTTTAATAAAAGAGCTCCAATACTAGTTTTTCAAATACTTATTAGACCAGAACTATACCATAGAAATCCGCTACAAAATTTATAAAAAATAACCATTACATCTAGAAGACCTTTATAGGAAAATTCCATATTTGTTTAATAGAAAGAATTTTAAATGATGTTATGTATCAAATAAGTCTGTTTCCTCTTCCTCCTTCAAATCCTTTAAAGAAGTCTTCCTAGGCTTTAAATTCCATTTTAGAATTGGATCTTTAATATTTTTGAAGATCCAATGTAATTTATACATATTTTTTATATTTTCATTATTGTATTATGTAATTTTAGATACTCTTGCTTTTCATCCCTCCCTCGTTCCTTCCTTAGCTTCTTTTCATTCCTTTGATGCCCTGTTCACCAACCAGCAAGCATTTTATAAAAAAGTATTATAAAAATGAAATTTATATATATTTAGAGATCCAATACTATTTTTTCTAAATACTACTTAACCAGCTATGCCATAGAAATCACCTAAAAAGGATCCATAAAATCATAACATATAGAAGACTTTTATAAGTACGTCTGATAGGGAATATTTGTTATTAGAAAAGCTTTACAAGAGATCCCTGTTTTGACATAGAGGATATACTCCTCAAATAGAATGAGTATTGAATTGTTTCTATTTTATTGTTTAAGCCTGGGGAATTCCCCCATTGGCTTAACTTCATTTAGGAAGCTATGTAATAGTTATATACGGCCTCTTAGGTTTTTATACCCTCCACCATTGTATGGAGGGTATATTAAATTTGTCATTCCGTTTGTAACACCTCGAAATATACATTTTAGACCCCACAAAGTATATATATTCTTGATCAGCATAAAATTCTATGTCGATTTAGCGATGCCCGCCCGTCTGTCCGTCTGTGTATTTCACTCTAGCTTCCGAACGAATTGAAGTAGATTGATAAAATTTTACGCAAATGTATGTTTTGTCTTCAGGACTCTTGGTATTGAAAATGGGCCATGTAGGTCCACGTTTTCGTATAGCCGCCATATAATGGTACATCCCGATATTCGGTATTTTGATGATTTTAGCGACATTATTCACCGGAATTGTTTAAAATTTGGTATTTGAGTTTCGTAAGGGATGCTACAGCCCATGACAGAAAATTGTCCATGCAGGTCCACGTCTTCGTATAGCCCTCATATAACGGTAGCTCCCGATATTCGATATTTTAAAGAATTTAGCGACATTATTCGCCGGAATTGTTTCAAATTTGATATTTGAAGTTCGTCATGGATACTACAGCCTAAGGCAGAAAATTGTCTGTGCCGGTCAACGTCTTCGTATAGCCCTCATATAGCGGTACCTCTCGATATTCGGTATTTTGGTGATTTAAGCAACATTATTCACCGGAATTCTTTCAAATTAGGTATTTGAAGTTCGTAATGGATACTACAGCCTGTGACAGAAAATTGTCTGTGTCGGTCCACGTCTTCATATAGCCCCCACATATTGATACCTCCCGATTTTCGGTATTTTGATAATTTTAGTGACATTATTCACCGATTTTTTTCATGTTTCGCATTTGAATGGTTTTTTTATTTGGTTTTTATTTTTATTTATTTTTTTTTGAAAAATTGCCAAATTCATTCCAAATGGTGGAGGGTCTTCAAGGTTCGGCCTGGTCGAACTTACAGCTTTTTTACTTGTTTTTTCTTTCAAATACTACTTAAATAAGACTATGCCATAGAAATAGCCTACAAACCACCAAACCAGATACAAGGAGTAATATAGCTTTGACTAATATGGTCATGGAATATCAGGTTATTAACGAAGTTATCAATCAATTTTTTTTTCGAATGAGGGAACTTTTTCTTAGGGATAAAGCATTAGACAAGGTTTTCCTGTTAGCATTTGAGACCCTTCCAAGAAGTCTTCTTTACTACTATAATAAGGAAGGAAGGAATTTACCTTTAATTTTTTAAGAGCAGCACATTTTCCCCTTATGCCATATAAGAGCCCCCCCTCCCCCATAAATCAAATACCTCTTCAAAACAAACGTGGTCTTTCTTTCAAATAGATAATTCAACCATAAATCAAATAAATCTGCCAATACTCACACACACAAACACATCTCAATTAGTAGCCCCAAATTACTAGCAGAAACCAAGGTATACTTTTAGGAGAAATTACCTTTTGAGAAATTGGTATTGTCTTCAACTTGTTAGCTTTGCAAAGATATTACATAGATTATATAGATTACCCACACACACACACTTACATATATTTCTCCATGCGAAAATATAGAAAAATAATAATAATTAAAGAAAAAATAATAATAATTAAAAAAAAAACAAAACTATAATCAAATATTTATAAACACAAACATGGAATGATGGAATGAGCGAAAACACACACACACAAACTAGATTAAGTCGAATACAAGCATTTGAAATTAATAGAAATGAGTCTATCTTTTTTGATAAATAAAAATTTTTAAAAAAGGAACAAAAACAAAATAAAGAGATAAAAATAAATAAATTATAAAAAAAAGAAAT